GTGTAGGTGTGTGTTGTACAGTGTGTAGGTGTGTGTTGTACAGTGTGTAGGTGCGTGTTGTACAGTGTAGGTGCGTGTTGTACAGTGTGTAGGTGTGTGTTGTACAGTGTGTAGGTGTGTGTTGTACAGTGTGTAGGTGTGTGTTGTACAGTGTAGGTGTGTGTTGTACAGTGTGTAGGTGCGTGTTGTACAGTGTGTAGGTGCGTGTTGTACAGTGTGTAGGTGCGTGTTGTACAGTGTGTAGATGCGTGTTGTACAGTGTGTAGGTGCGTGTTGTACAGTGTGTAGATGCGTGTTGTACAGTGTGTAGGTGCGTGTTTGTACAGTGTGTAGGTGCGTGTTGTACAGTGTGTAGGTGCGTGTGGTACAGTGTGTAGGTGCGTGTTGTACAGGGTGTAGGTGTGGCGGACAGACAGGTCTCAGTTGGTTTGGTGTCCTGTGCTTACTTTTAATACTTGTAAATAAAACTTTTGGCCCGTAATTTAATTTCCCCATTTCAACGACCAGAGAGAGGGGGGGGGATATATCCAGTCTCTGATAGTGTTACGTTATTATGAGAGTGCTCTCATACTTGTTTGATTCTGAAATTGTATATTTATATAAATATATGTGTGTGTATATGTCCGCATCTGTAGCCTGTTATTGTCTCATTATACCGCACTGTGAATGAATTCAAAGTAAATATATAAGTCATCATGAACACATCTGTCCATCACACAGAGGGCTGCTGTGCCTCCTGTCATCATTAATGGACGTCTCTTTAAAATCACCGCTCAGAGGAGAGGATTTATCATTTCTCTAAACGCCTGCTGCTTCCCCTCCTCTCTCCTCGGTTCCCCTCCTCAGTCCTCTGCTCGCATCTCCTGTGGGCGGGACTAAGACACGAGGATAGGAGTCGAGGAGGGGAGTCGAGGAGGGGAAATTAGAGAATTGAGAAGCCGTCAGTGAGATCGCTCTTCTGGAGTGAAGAGAGCGGAAATAATGATATTGCAAGTTACAAACGTAAGATGCATTTTGACGGACAATTGGGGGAAAATATCCTGCATTTTGAATGTCCGATAGTCCACCATTTACACCTTAGTCCCGTCTCGTCAATGAAAACAAAATATACATTTCGTCATAGTTTTTATTATCAAGAATTTATTTTTAGCTCGTCATCGTCTCGTCTTAGTCATGTAAAAAAGGTTGTTGATGAACTTTTTTCGTCATAGTTTTCGTTGACGAAATGAACACTGCTCAGATACTGTCAGGTGTCTTGCAGGTGCTTTGATTTCCTCCCACAATCCAAAGGCATTCAGGTTAGGTGAACCAGAAAATGTAAACTACCCTGATAGACTGTTGAGACCTCATGGTGTTTCCTGCCTCTCACCCGATGCATGCTGGGAAAGGCTGCAGCCCCCAGAGATCCTTAACAGGCTAATAGATTCAGAAAGTGGATGGATGGATACATAACAGGTGCAGAGGTATTTTCTTTTGTGAGCACAGATCAGCTATTACCTTCACACCCACATATGCTGATGGGAACATAATAACATATGAAGCCGTCTGTTGAACAAAAAACCACAAAGAGGTGATCAGCCAAAGAAAAGAACAGACCCCTGGGGAACTCCACGCTATTTTTTAACTATGAAAACATGTAATTATTGATCAACACGTAATGATCCCTTTCCTTTCAGCAGAATCCAAATTAATTTTGCACTGTGCTAGAAAGTACAGACAGTCTTGCATCATTTTGTAATTGACTGGGATTTTTATGTTTATTTTAAATATATGCCTTTAAGACCTTACCAAGAAGAGTCACAGTAAGAAATCCAACCACATCACAGCAGTGGAAGCTGGCACATTTTTCTCTCACATTCTCTACCAAAATGTAAGCAAAGTTATACACAAACACAAAACATATGTCATATTACAACGCAGGGCTAGCTCAAAGGCACACAGCACTTGATACAGTCTATTATTTTAGTGCCTATTTTTGTCAACCTCCTTATTATGCTTACAGATCCCTATCCTGTAGCCCTCATTGGACAGCAGTGTTTACTTTCCTAAACATGGCTAGTTGCATAGCATCATCCAGTGTTGTAGTCAAGTCACCAATTCACGAGTCCAAGTCACTCTCGAGTCACCACTCTTCGAGTCCGAGTCCAAGTCCGAGTCACCAAGGGAGAGTCGTAGTCGAGTCCGAGTCCAAGTCCGAGTCACCCAAGGAGTGTCCGAGTCGAGTCCGAGTCCGAGTCATCATTACCTGTGTTCGAGTCCGAGTCCAAGTCCGAGTCACCCAAGGAGTGTCCGAGTCGAGTCCGAGTCCGAGTCATCATTACCTGTGTTCGAGTCCGAGTCCAAGTCCGAGTCACCCAAGGAGTGTCCGAGTCGAGTCCGAGTCCGAGTCATCATTACCTGTGTTCGAGTCCGAGTCCAAGTCCGAGTCACCTAAGAAGAGTCCAAGTCAAGTCCGAGTCACAAGTCTTCATGTATTAATCTTCGTGGATATATGTGTTGAAATGTAGCTGCTCCTCTACATTGCTTTTATCCTGTCATGTTATACTAATCTGTCTATTGAACTGCTGTGAAGCCAGTTTGGCTACAATTCTTGTAATAGGTGCTTTACAAATATAAAGCTTATTACTAATATTAATATTATTATTATTATATATAAATAAACTATGTTTAAAATGAGTTACCTTTTAGAGAAGTGATTATATTTGTATGCCAATATTTTCCTATGGTAAAGTTTTCGTTTTGCACTTTTATTTTGATAGTAATAAGATCGGGACTCTTATTTTGAAGGAACTTTTACCGGTTAAATCGGTTTACTGATAAAGATTTAGCCCCAGAAAGCACATGGCTACTTAGCATGCAAAATGACGTCATTCTGCATGTTAAGTAGCCGTGTGCTTTCGTGTTATCAGCTGAATCTTTATTTATTGATTAGATCACGTTACTCTGATGATAGTGTTCAAGACAGCCTATTTGTCTGAACTCGATGTTTAGAGTAATGTGTTACGGAGCCTTCTCTTCAATATTGTTTCCACATAGAGCATTTTGCCAGCTCTTTTCCAATGTGGAAGCAGAATGTGTGAAAGCATACAGCACGATGCGGGGTGTGTCTCTAGACATCTTTAGACTGGAATAGCGGGGCCCAGTACGTGAACTCGCCTCGCAGCCGGTGCACACGAGTCCGAGTCCGAGTCCAAGTCGGAGCGTCAATGTACAAGTCGAGTCCGAGTCATCATGGGGGGAAAAATTCACGAGTCCGAGTCCGAGTCCAAGTCAGCGTACGCGATAATTCACGAGTCCGAGTCCGAGTCCAAGTCATCGTGTGCGAGAATTCACGAGTCCAAGTCCGAGTCGCGTCAATCAGTGCGCGAGTCCGAGTCGAGTCACGAGTCCCGAAAATCGGCACTCGAGTCCGACTCGAGTCCGAGTCCAGGACTCGAGTACTCCATCTCTGGCATCATCCATGTGGACTCTAGTTTGTTCATGCTTTTTAGTTTTTTATGATATGTGCTTTAAGTCACTCACATCTGTCTGGATCCATGCTGGGTCTGGTCCACAGACTGGTCTGATCCTGACGTTTGAAAAGGGAGGCAGGGGAAGCTAAATATAGCACTGGTGTTGCTACAGGTAGTTAGCCAAGCCTTCTTGCTAAACCAGCTCCTTGAAAAAGAGCACGTATACTGCCTTCCTCTGTAGTGTCCTCCTCTCAAAGGGTGTTTCTTTAAACAGGATCTTCCTTCTCCATATTCGCTATCTAGTTTTGTTTACACTCCGTCTCCGTCTAACTCTCTCTCATTCAAATGTCAATCACTCACTCTGGCGCGAGAGTCAATGGGCAAAGATTTCTGCGCCCCAAGCAGGAAACACGTGATTTATCAGTAACTTTAGACATCGTAAAACAATTATTTATGAATATTTTATCGTAGATTATACATTCAAATGTTTTTTTATGACAATCTAGAATGTGGGAAGAGGTGGGGCGGCGCCCCTAGCACCCCTATGGGCCGGCCGCCACTGCATCACAGCACTGTGACTCTTCTTGGTAAGGTCTTAAAGGCATATATTTAAAATAAATAAAACAATTCCTGACCCTGTTTTTCTGGTAAAATAAAACATTTGATTCAATCACCCTAAATGGCTGTAATATAGATTGCAACCACCTTTTTCTCATCTTATTAAAACAGTGCAAAATATTAACATCTAATACCAAGATTCCTCATCTCTCTTATTTTATTTTGCCCATTGTGCAGCAGCAACAAGAAAAAGGGGTCCATTCCCATATGTAATTACAACCACAGCTTTGTTTGTAATTCAATACATTTACTTTTAATATATTCCTTCTGGCTTAGATGCATGAGTTTTGTTTCATCACCCCAAATAAAGGAGGAAAGTTTCGAACAGCACAGCAAGAAAAATCAGATTTCTTACTTTCGCTCTTATTAATTATACATGGCAAACTCACAGGCTAATATGGGCCCACGGGAACTGCCCAGTTGAGAGAACAGCTGACTGCTGACAGCAGGCAGAGGAGGGAGCGTGGATAGTGGCTCAACGGCTCCCTCTAGTGGAGGTTACAATGTGACACATTCTCAACATCCTGAGATATTTTTCCCATAATAAGCTGTTATCTTGTCGTCATTGATGTTTTTACACAGTTATTTGTTGGGGGGGGTGGTGCTTCAACAGGTACTTTACTCATTTATTGGGATCTGATTCTATTAATGTCTCCTTCATTGAATGGATAACCAATTGGGTTTTAGTTCATTTCCCTCATGACAAATGCAAAGAATAAAATCAATAATAATGATATGAGTGCTATTTATTTTTTACAATGCAAATGTACTCATTTGATTTTATTAACATGTGCTTGTCTCTTTAATCAATATGTTTGTCTACTCATTCATTTGTTTTACCTCCACTCTCCCTTTGCTGTGATGTGAAGTACATTTCCCCACTGTGGGACAAATACATTTCTGATTCTGATTCTCTGTTCTTTGTCTCAGATGTCAATATGGCTGGAGAACCAAAGCCGAGCAGACCCAAAATCCTAAAGCGATCAGCATCTTCTCTCTACAGGTACTCAAAGTGTTACTTTGCACTTTTTGCAGCAGGCACAGGTTTTCTGAAGGGCCAGGACTTGTATCAGAAATCCAAAAAGAGACTGTAATACCCACACCTGTGTTAACCAACAAAAACAAACGCAGGTGCTCATGTGGGACTGAGATCTAGAAACTGTAATTGAAAAGGCCAAGGCTTTAAAACAGCTACACTGCATAACAGCACCCTGAGGAAGGTGGAGGCCGAGATCTGTGTTTATTTAGAAGGAGTCTCAGGCTTCTGTTTAACATCTTATTTATTTATCTTATTTAATCGTTCATTTGGCAGGGACAATGCACGGTAATGAACACTTAAAACATTAAAATGTGTCAAGCGTAACAGTGCCAGATTTAGCTTTGAGCTCATTTCCATCCGCAGTCCCTCACATAAAACATTTAAGAAGTTTACATTTTACAAACATAGCAAAAACAAAATACATGATATGCAAAAGGTAGCATACACAAGTATGTATGTCATGGTAATACAATACAATACAATCTCAGCCATGCCCCACTTTGACAGGACTATTAAGACCTCACAAGTCTATTTCTAGAGTCTGATTGTTCCTTTGACACTATAATGTGATTTAATGAATTCATTAAATCACATTTCAACGCTGCATTAATGTGTGTGGGGGGGGGGGGGGGGGGGGGGGGGGGGTGGGGGGCAGAAGGATGAAAAAAGGAAGCTGAGAGTAGAGGTGTCATTATCTGCACATAGAAACAAAGAAATATCCATCCCTGCATTTCTAACGGATACTAGACTGGAAGTGGGCATAGTTTATACCAGAAGTCACATGAAATCAAGAGCATTATGTATTTCCCAATCTTTATGTGCGTTGGCAATATACTGTTTGTGTGTCTTAAAAGCCCGGTGTAACCCAAGCAGGATGTTTTTTTGATTATTGGGGTTTCGGAATAATGGGCCCTCAATGTTTCACTCCCCTTTCAGTCGTGTTTTGGTCCCACCAACTCGTCAGAGTTGATCTATAATTCCTTCAGCGTTGTCACTATGGACAATCACTTACAGATCACAACAAACTTTCAATTGTGAAACAAAATTGGGAAATGTGATTTCAGTGTCGGGCAGTTTTTTGTATTTTACATCGTTTACAGAAGGAACCTCAGACATCACTATGCTTACCCTTCATTTGTACTCAATAACAATTGTAAAATATGTCAGCACAAATTAAACATGCTACACATCAATTTCAACAGTTCAGTTTGGGTTGTCATGCTCTGTTTTGTCTTTGTCATATTTACGTCTGTCTTTCTGTCTCTTGGGGTGAGATGAAGTATTTGGTGGTTTCTTTGTCTCTCCCACAGAGGTTATAATTATTGCTTTTTCTGTGCAATTTTAGTCTTTGATTCCTATAAGCTACATGGAAACCCCAAAGCGTTGTTGTTCCCTTGTGTTGTTTTCAATGTGGTTTCATGCTCATGATATGAAAAGTATTGTATGACATGTGTTTTGTACATTCACTTTGTGCTATTGTGCTTCCTCCCCAGTGGCTATGAGTTTGACTATGATTTCTGCAGAGAAGACTTCTATGACAGGTAAGAGAGAGGACAGTATTTGTGGTTCCTCCAGGATTGTTCTGCCTTTTAGAGCCAGCAGGACTGTGGTCAGGGAACACATAGACTCTTGGCTCTAGTGATATCAGAAAAGGTTAAACATGCTAACCTCTAAACCTAAAATACAAGCAAGTAAGATGTTAAAGCACTCTTCCTTTTAACCAGGGGAAATGTCAAGCATGTTTTTAACAATAACCAAACATGATGGCTTTGATGATAGACATTCTTAAAAATAAGTAGAACAAGAAAAATAGTGTAGGTTTATCGGACAAATACAAGGTAAATCCAAAATATGATGAAGTCTTGCTGTAGGATGAATAACAGATTAGCGGATGAACCTTGTTGCGTGTATCCAAGAGTTTGTACAAAGTGAAACATTCATTCACTTGCAAAACATTAACTTCAAAAAGGAGGAATCACACAAGCACTGGTATTAAAGATGACATATTAAAGACATTAAGACAACAATTACGACAACAATCCAACTCACTTGACAATAATTATCAATATAAAAAGTCTTAAAAAGTGTGTTTTGCTCTCTGTCGAGTTTACGTTTATATTTGTCTAACAGAAGAACTTGCTTTTTGCAGAGATATATAAAACTGATCAAGTTTCCCCAGTGTTTCCTACAGTCAGAGAGACTTACAGTGTTTACAGTGTTTGACTTTCAATGGTTGTTTGTACTGTTAAAAAAGAAGTTATCCAAAGATAATCAAACACAATATATTCCAATAGTTTCCAAACACCAACTGAAAATGTGTTTTTTTTAGAAAGAAGAAAGCTTCACTGGTTAGCAAAAGCTTACCTGGTATCGCAGTTAGGGGCTCATTTAAAAGGTGCAAAGAGAATTACTGTATGCATTTGAGCCTTACTTATGCTGGTCAAGTAGCCACAAAAACCACTCAATCCTTTACATAATTCACCCCTCAACTTGCATTATTTCAAACAAAGAAAAGGCTTCCAAATTTGCATCCGACAACAGTCTGACCTAAAATAGAAACGATCCAAAATACAGTTGAAGCAAAAAGATTCAAACAGATTAACACGAGGCTAGCAGCAGGATGATTCTCCAACAATTACACAACACCTGATGTTTGAAAGATTCACAACACATGTCATTTCCCCTGCAAGCTCCAACAGTTCACACTCTGCACCTGTTCCCCCTGTGATGGTACAAATCAATCAAGTGTTAGACAGACTCAAAGTGAGACATGAAACATAACTCAAGTGGAGAAAATAAAATTGTGGCTTAATTCAGGTCATTAGGCATTGCACTTCTTGAACACCTCAATTAGAAACAAAGCAGATGTCTTTACTAATAAACACAGATCTAATAGAGTGGTGCAGTGATAACGTAACACAATGTTTTTAGGTAAAGATGACTAATATTTAACATATGACTCACTTTAAGAAATTAAGTAAAATCTAACTCAATTACTTAATAAAACGTATTACTTATACATGAGTAATATTTACTCCTAATCGTAGGCAGCTATTTACTTAATAATTTTAAGTAATAATTGATCCATATTACAAATTAATATTACTTTATTAGTAAGGTTACCAGTAAACAATGTATTTCCACACACAAGATTTTATTGATCATGTTTTTTTTTATTGACCAAATGATCAATTTTTTAAGTGCAATATGGTCATACATTGAGATTATTTAAACAGTTAAGTGCATTTCAATTGTTAACACTGAGCAGAATCTTCAAAATAGTCATACAATCACATTGTTTTAACAGTAAAGTGCATGGAAATTGTAAACATTTTGAACATAATCTTCCAAGTGCAATTTACTCAACTATTAAAACCTTTACGTGCCAGTAAACAGTCCACTTTTAACAGAAAAAGGTTTCTCCACATCCATTACATTCCACATCACATTATTTTGTGTTTGTGTCACTCGGCACTAAAACAAGTCAACATCCACATCCACTTCAGAACAAATTGTTTATTTGAGGCTCTGGACCTTTTTGAGCAGCTTTGCTCCATCAAGCTCCATCAAGGCTGCTCCATCAAGTCTCCATCAAGCTCCATCAAGGCTGCTCCATCAAGTCTCCATCAAGCTCCAAAAACAGTTTTTAGAATACCTCAAATGTGTATTTGAGCTTGTTGGGGTATTCCAGGTTGAGGGCGTAGATGAATCCCATCAACAATGCACATGCCTTTGTTTGGTTTCCGCACAAATTCAAAACTCTGAATGCTCGTCATGCTCGTCCTCCATGTTGAAAAGAAAGAAAGAAAAGCATATTCACTTTAAATTAGGCATATTAGTAGTATTACATATCCTGCTTCAATCTCATTAGTATGCATAAAAAAGTGACAGGTCACACCTTCTAAGTCCCGCCCCCTAATTATGTTAATGACCCCCCTTTGATATGCTAATGAGCCCCTTTGTTCGAGGTGTTATCGCGTACAGGTGTTACATCCTCACCGGTAGCCCCCCCCCCCCCTCAGACCACCCCCCTCCCCCTCACATACAGGTGTTACATCCTCCCCGTAGCCCCCACCCTTCTCAGCCCCCACCCCTCTCAGCCCCCACCCTCTCAACCCACCCTCTCCTTACAGCAGGTGTCACATCCGCCCTGTCGCCCTCACCCCTCCCTCCATATTCCCGCCAGAAGATAGTGAGGGGGTGGAGTCAGTCATAAAAAAAGAAATCTATGCAAAACTAGATAAAAGCCAGTCATTTCCACTCAACAAGTCACCTAAACTTTCAGAAAATAAAATGGCAAAGAGACGCATCGATATGGGTTTAATCAGCGAAACGCCGGTAACAACTTACCACCATCCTTCGGGGGCGCCGGTCAAGAAACGGATGCAGTATCTGTGCCGGGTTCAAACCCCTCCCGCAGAGGCTCTTCATGAAAAATGGAGTCTGGAAAATGGAGATGTTTGGGGTTTTGTGTTCAACTATATGGCGAACGAATTGCACTTCTACAATCTGAAGAATGGAGAAACCTATGGACCCAGCAGTGTTAAAGCGACGTTGACCTCAACAGATTGGGCTGTGTTAACTCTGGTGGCTTCCAGAGATCTCCGTGCAACCGTTGTATCAGAAAAAGCAGTGCATCAAGAAACCACTGTGGATCCATTGTGGAATCATTCATCCCTTGTACGTGCAATGTCTATGAAACCTGCATCAAAAAGCAAAGAAACGCAAACTGTGGTTGAGATCAAAGAAGAGTTTTCATCGCAACCCCTCCATGTGGAAGAAGAGGAAGAAAATATTCACCCGCCGCCGCCAGTGAAAAGAATCCTGACAAGCACCGTCTGGGAAACTAAAAGCGGCCCGTCTGGTAGATGGTATTACCGCTCAAGCCGTTTGGTGACACGGGGGAAGGACCCCTCTGATGATTTTGTTTTGGAGTATTTCAACTCTACATGTGGGGTTTTTCAAACATCTTTGCGTGTGCCTCTGGCTGCTTGGCTGAAAATGATCGATGAAAATCTACAAAGCTTAAAGAACTTTTTAAACAGAGTCAAACAGCGATAGACATTATAATGGTGAAAAAAACTCTCACTTTTGCAGATGACTCCTCCTCCTCCGCCTCCTCCTCCTCCTCAACATAATAAGTCCCACCCCTCACCAGATCATTTAAAGCTAAGGACCCACTAGGACAACCGTTGAAGACTAACCATGGATCTGAGAAAAAACAAGTCTCTCCCTGCGAGCTGCGACATGGAACAAGCCCTGGATCTGAGAAAAAACAAGTCTCCCCCCGCAAATTACAGCCTGGAACAACCCCTGGATCTGAGAAAAAACAAGTCTCTCCCCGCGAATTGCAGCCTGGAACAAGCTCCTGACAGACCGCCATGATCTCCAACAATCTGGACCCCCGAGCTCAACAGTGATGACGATGGCGTTGATGTTACTGGCTGGGGGCTTGTGTATCAACCTCCATCTACTCCACCAAAACCCCCGAGGAAAACAGCAGCTTCTTCAGACTCCTCGGTAGAAGACGACGATGGATCGACATGCTATGCTTATAACTATGGTTATACTTCAGAGTATGATGCTGTAGACGGGGCAAGGACAGCTTCATTCCTGAATACGGTAAAAGCTGTGGTGGTTCATCTGTTGGATAAGGTCGTACACATGTACAGAAAGGAACAATGTTATGGCTGTCAAGTCGATCACCCCAGTCAAATGCAACATGAGTGTTTGTTTGAGATGCCAGAATATTTTCTGGAGCGAAACTATGATGAAGTGGTAAAGAGACTGTGGACCGACCGTTTCATTCCAGCCATTCGGGGTTCTCTACATTCGAGCAAGCTTCATATGTCGGAGAGAAGGATCTTTGGAGCTGCCGAGGCGATTCTTCACAATCTCAGAAGCACAAGACGCTTTGAGGTTAAAATCAACAAGCTTTACGAAAAGCTTGTTGAAAACGACGAGTCACAGCTGAAGAATATAGCAGACGCATGGGACTTTTGGCAGCGAAAGGAAGAGTTTGAAACTTATCTGTAAAAAGTACCACCATGTTTTTTATTTTACTTTTTTTATTTTTATTTTACTTGATCTAGTGTGTCCTTCTCTGTAATCATGTTTTTTGATTTAAATTGTTTTTGATTTTCTGTCTGGAGAAAAATGTTTTTAAAAATCTGTTGTTGATATATGCATCAAATCAATAAAAATGTGTTGTAACAAAACTGTTGTATTCATTACCTCATTGGGACGGTAACAGAGAACATGTCTGAGAAACGTGTCATGCAAAGAGTGTATTACACTCCCTCTAATCCAGGGAGTTTAGGGGGCGTTGATAAACTCCATAGAGCTGTACAGAATGAGATGGGTAAACAGATAAATGTAGAGAAAGTCAGAGATTTTTTATCTGAACAAGATGCTTATACTTTACACAAGCCGGCAAGGGTACATTTTGTAAGAAACAGAGTTTTCGTACTCAGACCGCTACAGCAATTTCAAGCTGACCTTTGCGATATGCAGTCGTTATCCAAGCATAATGACGGTTTTA